TTTTTTTTTTTTTGAATAGGAAACTTTTTTCTTATCGATTTGTTGTGCATGGTGGTGTCTTTTTTCGAGATACATAGCAAATAAGTTTTAAGCTCCCTTTTGTTTTTTTTTCGTCTACATCTTTAAATGGTATCCCCCTTGATATAGCTTAGAACGTTGGCAGTGTACGGAATTATTTAAGGTACTTTAACAAAAAAAAAAGAAAAAATGTTTGGACCTTGTTTTCAAAGTAACGAAAAAAAAGTACGTCGAAATGTGTTGGGTGTTTTTTCTTCTTTATCAATAAAAATAAGAATCGTTTATATGTATGTATATCTATCTATCTATCTATCTGTAATGTAATTGTATATGTATATTTGTTATAATCAACATTTGTAGAAGTTTTTCCAGACAACAGCAAATAAGTTTTACAGATATGGAGCAAAAAATGTGCTGATAACATCATACAATGTCCAATTGGCCAGAGGAATTCTTTTTATGGGAACTTTGTTACATTTTTTTAACAACAAGAGAAAGAGAGAAACAGTTTTGCCATGCAGGGGGGGGGGGGGGGTGGTAGGAGGCGGCCAAAACTTCTGCATAGAAGGAAGAAATTGTAAAATATGTGGGATTTCTTTTTTCGAATTTTATGCCCCTCAAATTTGCAGGTATTTTGCAATATTCAGGTATGTGATGATGGCAAACTATTTCGACTCGTTTTGACGTAATCGATCACAAATATCCGCAATCCATCCATTCATGCAAAACTGTGTTTGGATTCTTAAATTTAAATTCGTAAAAAAAACATGCTGCCAAATAATATCAGGATATTCACGGCACAGTCAAAAAGTTAGTTGAACTTTAAAGAAGCTGGAAAATATTAAATCACGTACCAAGAGTCTTATTGTGTCCAATAGATACCAACAAATTGTTTCGGTCGTTTTCAATTTTCCACCGAATTTTTTATTGGATAGAAACCGCACAACATGAATGATGTAATCAAATATAGAGCTATTGTCGTTAACCACATTTAAAAACCATTGAGCAGCATTCAGTATCCCTTGTAATATTTGGGGGACGATATTTCCTAGAGGACGATAAAAAGTTCCTGGTGAACTTTTAACGAGTTTTTCAACTGAAACTCTGAAGATTTCTTGATCAGAATAAAATTTTGAAAATCAACCCCAAAGTTTTGAAATATCTCGGAAAGATTCTTCTGCCATGACATCTCTTTTCCGTCAAAGTGTCTGCAATTTTAAATTTGGAAATCTTAATCGGTAGGACACATTCTAGAGGTTTTGGAATAACCCTTAAATAACACTAGCTCCCAGTTAGGTGAATGTTCGAGGTCCATCCTTTCGGCCGAGTACTGTTAAACCAAAAATTTAGAGAGTAGGAAACCAAAATACTTGATGTTTTAATTCTTCTTCGTTTTACAAAAATCCAGCTCGGCATAACTAAAGAATTTCACGCCACATATCTGTACTGTATTGTTTGAGACGAGATAGAACCATCGTTACTTGTGTAGGACTTAATAGAATCACTTTCTACATGTCGGATTTATTGTCGAAGTGTGATGACATTTTGTATAGTTCCGTTTTTTGGGACTAAGAAGAATTGCTTTAGAAAGTAAGATTTGGATGTAACTACCATATAAAATTTAATCCAGTTAATATGTATTGTACAAGAACGAATACGCGACAACTATCGAATTAATACTAGGAGTACTTCTTAAACTCGATCAAAATCGGTTAAGTTATATCTATAGCTTCCAAATATATATTTTTATCCGGTTATAAATTTTAAGCCTTCTCAAAGCTATATTTTGAGCCTTGTAGTAATAATATGTGAAACGGCAAATTGTACACAACCTTGAAATTTCTCAAATCAAGCGCCACCGGATTTAGCAGGAAGAGCTAAAGGGCCACCGAGTCAAGCTTGCTAGAAGAGCTGAAGGGTCAACAAGTCTACAAGTCACAGAAGAGCTGGATATGCTGAAGGGCAAACAGCAGAGCTGCCACATACCACAATCACAACCAGGCACATTTCATCCATACACACTTGAGCCTTGTCCTGGTTTCAACTAAAAAGACAACAGCTCAACTTGGGGGATACATTAACCGAAATTTAATAAGCCTACAGATCCTCTTACAACAACATTATCAATTTATTGTTTAATCACCGATAGGCCATGTGACAAACTAAAAAAAGTCTCAAATATTCCAGTTTTGTGAACAAAATTATGATTTCACATAGACCTACTTTTTGAACTGAACCAAGGTACTATTCGTAAATATATGCAAAAATATATATTATTTTACAAAAATCTATGTATGTAAAGTATCTCAATCCATCCACTTCATATGAAAGGAAAAACACCCAACCCCAAAACAAGCCCATTACAAAATGAAAGCAAAAAGTAATGGTTTCAAAAAAAAAAAAAAAAAAAACATTTTTCATCGTTTCGTTACATATTATATATCATATAGCATAACACAAAAAGTACCAAACAATTACAAAGGATCATTGATAAGTGATTAATTTCAATAATTTCTTCTCTCATTTAAAGGATATTCTTATTGTTAAAAAAAAAAAAAAACATACTAAACTCATAATTAAAGCCCTACTACACCAGTGGGGATTTATTTCGTGTTCTTGCACCGTTTAAATAACAATGTTTATTCATAGGTTTAGAATTGAAAAAACCTTGAATTTTGGTACATTATACCACCGACGACGACTATATTTCGTGTTTAAGGCATATAATAGAACCAACAGAAAAAAAATACAAAACAAAAAAATCCCAGTCACAAAGGAATGAGAAAGAAAAACAAAAAACAGAGACGACATTTATGGCTGGAACCAACCACATCATTTGCATATAGATGTGTGTTGATAGCCCTATTTTTTCCTTTGTTTTTCGTAATTTAATTAACGAAATTTGGTACATAATGTTTGTGTTATGCTATTCTCTAATTAATAAAATGAAAACATAAAATTTAATGTGTGTGCTCCTTGTAGAAATGAGTGACAAGGAGCAGTATTATATAATATGTTTAAGAAGATTTATTAATACAAATAATTATAATTAAAAACAATTTTAAAAATGGAAATATTCTAACGAAATTTGGTACAATCTCGAAGGTGTTTTGTCTTTGGAGAAAAATAGAGTTGTTAAATTGGCAAAATGTTATTCTTTAGGGTTTTAGAAATTCAAAATGAATTATGGGAAAAAATTACGCAAAGTAGGGCGTTGGCCAGAACTCCACCAGAACACAAAATAATAGTAGTCAGCAGTTTTCGAAAAATTAACTTATATTCGGCGATTTTTAGATTCGTTGTGATGATCTATAAAAATATAGTGCTTGTATAGCAACCCAACCGAAAAAATGAGATTTACAAGCTAAATTCCCAAAAATATCTAAAAATTTACAATTACGGAGGTAATTGTCCCCCATCCTACGTCGGTGTTGGTGGTACCTGAAACGCGTTAAAAGAAACATAAGTGTTACTCCGATATCATGTCAGTTATATCCCTTACACCGGTTACGGTGTTACTAAATTGAGGGCTTATAAGGTTAAGGTGATAAGGGAATAATATGTTTAAAAAAATATTAAGATTCTGGTCCTTGATGCCAATTTTAATGAAAATCGTTTCAGATATGACTTATATTTTTCACAGCAGGTCTTATATTAATGCCTTTCTAAAGTAGCTATCCGCATTCGATAACAAGGAAACGATTTGATGTAATAGAAAACAAATTGAGTCATGCTATCAAGTTCCGACTAGACTACCAATTTTGGACAAAATCATCAGGACAGTGGTGGTGTGCTAGCTGATTTAATGGAAAAAAGGGTGTCGTGAAGTAAGATTTGCCTTAGGAGTAAAATTTGCTGTAGCAGACTTATGAGGTGTAGACATCCCCAGGGAAAAGATAGCTCAGTTCTGGGGCGAAATTTTTTCATTCGAAAAAATTTTCGATCTGCAAAACTAAGGTATGCGAAAAAATGCTCAATTGATCTTTTTCCTTCCCACTGAATATTCTGCTACCCAACTTGTTCCTAACCATTTCAGTTTATAGCCTATTAGGGGCGTAGATTCCTCTCTGACAAGTAAACACATTATATCTTATGTTTTCCGATCTGAAAACCAAAGGCATCAGAGTTGAGGTGTCCGATTGATAATTTTTCCTTCACAATTTCAAAGGGCCTACAGTTTTCAATAGTATTATCTCTATTTCGTGATAGCCAAAAAATGTAACTTCTCGATAAACAAATTCAGTTTAATAATTCTTTTGTTCAGATAAAAACATCTTTCAAGGAGCTCCCGGAGCCAAGAGGCATTGCTCATATATTTTGTCTCTGTAATGAATTTTATTTTGAAAAAGTCACAAAGTGACAAATCAGGGCTCATGAGTTTAAGTCTCTCTTTTGTTTGGCTTCTTTAAACGAGCTGACTGAATTGCGACCATCTGGTTTTGTCTTGAAGGGAACCCTCAGGCCTTCTGCTAAAATCATCAAATCCGATACTATTTAAAATTCAGTTTTTTTTTTAAATTAAAATTAGTGGGCTCAATGAGAACCAATTTGAATTGAATCGCTTGAAAAGTTCTGAAACCCTCCATGAGAATATGAGAAAGTTATTATGACGAGATTGTACCGAAATTCATACGAATATTTTCTTCATATTTAAAAATTAGAAATTAAAAAAAACAATAAATCACTACTTTACTACCACAACCATCATCAACAATCAATCGAATCGAACAAATCAATCAATGAATTGAATCAATAATAATTACTACCACTTACTACTATTACAAAAAAAAAAAAAAAAATAATAATGAAAAACAAAAACCAAAAATTACTTTGATTACAAGTATCCCCATTTTCCCAAACCGCCACCCTTATTTAATTTCCTAAATTCTCTTTTTCACTCTCTCTCAATCTCTTTCTCTCACTGTGATCCATATGTTTGTTACTACGGCTATATTTTTTGTATTTTGTCTATTTTTTAACAGATCTTATGAGGGTCCTTTTAATGATTTTGTACTGTCAAGATTGCGTTTTGCGAAATAGTGGGCGTGGAGCCAGCTTAGCCACGCCCATTCTTATTAAATAAGACAGACAGACATAAGGAAAGAAAGAAAAGTAAAGAAAGAAAAGGCAAAGAAAGAAAGAAAAGGCAAAGAAAACAAATCCTATCCTATGCACACACTATAAATCTACAAATCGGTCGGAAAGAAAAATCAGAGAAAAGAATTCAGTCCTCTAGTTTAGGAATTTTATGAGGTTTTTCCAACTTCCCACATTACAACAAAAGCCGAGTAATAAGAATTACACTTGTCTGTACGACGACAACAACAACAGCAACGACTGAGCGACGACGACAACAAAAAGATTTTCCAAAAAGGGAAGAAAGAACAAACGAAAAAAAAAAAATCAGAAAAAAATAAATCGTCTACATCTCTCAGCAACAACAACAACAAACTGCATTTCTTTAAAAGAAAAACGCCTAAAACAAAAGCATCCACTGTCATCATCAAAGCAACAACAACACTACCACCATCTCCACCACCTTTACTTACTCTCTCTATCTCTCGCCCCATCATATGACACATTAACAACAACAATATATAGTTATATGTAAGCAAAAAACGTAACGAAGGAAAAAGAGAACAAGAAAACGGTAAGGAAGAAAAAATAGAGGACTCGTGCAAAATTGTTGGACCAGAGGGCAATATACAAAAGAGGATAAAAAGAACAACGACAATGCAAGGGGTAAAACCAGCAACAGCAATTGCACCCCCTACCACCACCACCACCACACCATCATCGGTCGCCAGCGTCTGTTTCAGTGATGATTATGTTTCTAATGTTTGTTTAAAACATCTAATGCGATCATGCATTAATTGCACCATAAATAAGCAATATACACGTAGTAAAAATCAATTGTATCATTGTCCTTTAAGGAGGACCACCTCGTCAAAGACATCCAACAGAACAGCCATGGCCGAACCGCAAAAGACAACGATGATGATGATGGTGGCGCCGCCATCAATGACATCAACAATTAATATGACCATGGTGACGACGAAAACAACAACGGCAGGAAGGGCCGGTAGCTCCACAACGTCGTCAGCGGCGGCGGCCACTAAGTCAAGATTAACAACATGGAGCAGCAACGGTAGCAGTAATATCTTCCCCGTTACAGCAACAACAGCAACAGTAACGTTAGTGATGTATGTAAAAATTCAGGTGTAAATAGTCTGCAATGTCGTCATTATAATCAACCTCAACAGTATCATCATTATCAGCAGCAGCAGCAACAACATCATCAGCATCATTTACTACATCATCAATCATTAATGCAATCGTCGTCGTCATTATCATTGTCTAACACAGTAGCAGCAGCAGCAGCAACAACAACAGCAACTAAAATGCCATATAATATTAATAATACAATAATACGTAAGTCATTATCATCAGCAGTATCTCCACCATCAGCCACATTAACAGCGGCGTCAGCGTCAAGAGCATCCGCAGCAGCAGCTATTGTGGTAACAACAATTCCAGCAGCATCCTCATCATCAACATCCGCAGCAGAATCATCGTCATCGTCGACGTCGTCATCATCAATATCATCACCATATTTACATACAGTATATTCCAAAAAACACATGGGAAGACGAAAACGCAATTCCTCCGCTTCTATGTCAGCGCACAGAAGAAAGGACTATCATCAGCATCATCGTCATAATCGTAACAATGGTGGTATTAATAGCTGTTTAAGGATATTATTAATAGTTTCATTTATAAAGCCATTATATATGTGGTATCATTTTATAAAGAGTGTCATATTAACGTCACTAAAACCAAGCGAAAGACTAACATCAACAATAAGAAAAACCTCATCCTCATCCGCCTCCGCTTCAACCTCAACCTCAACTTCACCTTCATCAGCAACATCATCGTCAGCGGCCACCACAACGGCGCGTAGCAAATGTATACGTGTCTTGCCACCCATACGTACCACCTCATTCATAACTCTACTAACGATCATTTGTCTGGAGACCGTGTTGCTCTCCACCATGTCTAGTTGTGCTAAAACCTTCTACATGCATTGGAACACTTCGAACAGTATATTCCGCATAGATAATACCGATCACATAATCGATGTTAATAAAGGTAATCTAGCTTTTGAATTTGATCAAGTGCACATCATCTGTCCGGTCTATGAGCCGGGAACGTTTGAAAACGAACGGAAAAATATATAATTTACAATGTATCGAAAGTTGAATATGAAACGTGTCGGATAACGAATGCAGATCCGCGCGTCATTGCCATATGTGATAAACCTCAAAAATTAATGTTCTTTACGATTACGTTCCGGCCATTTACACCGCAGCCCGGTGGTTTGGAGTTCCTGCCAGGGAATGATTATTATTTCATTTCGACATCATCCAAAGATGATCTGTATCGTCGAATAGGCGGCCGTTGTTCAACGGACAATATGAAAGTGGTGTTTAAAGTGTGTTGTGCCGAGGAGAAGAATAAAACAATTTCGGCGGGTAGCGGCGGAAATAGTGGCAGTGGTTCTGTCGGTGGCTCAGGTAAGGATGGTAAAATTGGTGGTGGCAGTTCTACCACAGCTGTGGGCAGTCCCTCAGCACCCACCGATACCACAGGTGTTAATAACGTTGTGGGTGGTATTGGAGGTGGCGGCGGCGGTGGCATGGGCATGGGCATGGGTGGTGGTGGTATGAACACCATGAGTGGTGAGGACATAAATCACGCCACAAATATCAATCGCAACCAACAATTCTCCAATCATCCGCATCACATGAACAACATCAATACCATTGGCATAAATGGCATCAATAACGGCATGCTGCCGAATGGTGTCATGAATCCTGGTGGCGGACCGGGTAACAACTATGGACTGCAACTAAATCCCATGTTAAATAATAACGGTAATGGTGGGGCCACCTCTATCAACACAAACATCGATCAATACAATCGCATACCTATGCAACCGAATAGCATCAATGTACTGAACAACAACATTGGCGGTGGTATGGTGGGCTCGCATGGCGGTTCCGGCATCATGATGACGCCCGGTGGCCACAACGGCATTACCATGATAACCGGCGGCGGCGGTGGAGGTGGTATGATGGGTCCCGGCATACCGGGCATACATCAGTACCACGGTCAGACGGGTATACGCATAAACAATGTGCCATCTACACATCACACATACTTAAAGAATATCAATAGCAATAACAACAATAACCACAACCACAACGATCACGACCACCAGCATTACGACAAGCATCCAAATGAGGTTGTAAAGAATGAAGAACTTACCTATAATAGTGCCGGGGCAAGGCATGCACCGCCGCCAGCATTTTCAGCGTTCTTCTCCGTTTTTAGTTGGCTGAAGAAGGCGTTGCAGCAGCAGCAGCAGAATCAGAATCATTGTGGAACACACTATCATACAAAAAAACACAGCTTATTGAATTATGTGCTAAGGATTAAACAATTTGTATATTTTAAGTCTATTTTGTATAACAATATAATTTATAGTATAATTGCACTTTTTGTAATATTATTAATACAACAATTATTAAGATATAATAATTTTGTACTGAAGAAAAAACCAATAACACAACAAGAATCATCGAAGAAGAAGATGACGAGGATGAGTATGAAGAAGAAGAATGATAATGATTATAAGAAGATCACCAACAACAATAATAATAACAATAGTAGGTCAATAACAACAACAGAATCATCATTAACGACAACAAACACTATAACGAATTTCTCAACAACAAGAACAACGTCCTATGATGAAAACTTGACACATAAGAAATTTACTTACGAACACCCCAACAACACAACACGACGGTGAACTTTCTTATAACATAAGAGATCATTTATATACGTATACCTTAAATAATAATAAATAATAATAATAATAATTAATTAATTATAATTAAAAAAATAATAATTATAATACTTGGTTATAATGTAACGAACGAAAAAAAGCAAGAGAAAAATATGAAAATATTACAAGAAATGAAAACAAAGAAGAAGATGAACGAAAATAATAAACACAAACACTGATGTAGAAGTAATAACAGAAAAAAAAACGAAACCATGAAGAAAATAGCATATAAATAAAGCTTAAAGCATTTCCAAAAAAAAACAAGTTTTTTTAAAATACTGTGGATCGGACCATATATTACATATACATACAATATAGAACAAGAAATTTCCCTCCAGAAAAGAACAAAATTTTTAACAAAAAAAAAATCAATAAACAGAAGTACATCAAAACCCAAACACACACTCAGTCAGGAATCTATTGAAGGATATTTATTTATTTGCCTTTTGTTACGAAATAATTTCGGTGGATAATGGATGTACTCATGTTTAGAGTCACTCCCCATCATGGGATGATATTTAAAATTAAAAAAAACACGAATGAAAACATTGTTTTAAACACACATTTCTATTCACACATCTGAGCTTAAAAAGCAATCTAAATTATCAGCAAGTTTTTTAATTGGAATGTGGAAACATTTTTTTTTTTAAATTCTAAAAAGAGTTGGAATACTTTTGTAAAAATTTATCAGTATTATTAAAGACTAATTTGGGATATTCAATTGCATTTAAAGTGTAGCATAAAACGTTGCAACTTTCAATGTGGATAGTTAGAAGTTCCAATATATGTGTTACCGAATGAGCTACCGAAAAAGCGGTGGAAGTTAAACACTATATATTGTTTTTCTCCTCGGTAGGTTTTAATAGGACGAGTTCATAAATCATATATGCATATATTTATTTTGACATGCCTAAAATTCTATGTAGATATATGGACCCTTTCGGTGTATCAGCATTAACGGCGTGGTGCCAAATTTAATTGTAGGCTATACTAAATTCAATTTGACGCGTCTATATTAAACACTCATTCTTCTTGGTTTCCGTTGTGTTTGGTGTATAATTATTTACATTATTTGGGCTTTTTCATTAATCATGACTAAAATAGTATTTCAGATTCGCCTTTTGCCAGGCTTCCCATATTGTAACCAAAAACATTATTCTTAAATTGAAATTGATTGTTTAAGCTCAGAGTTATGTGAAGAAAGATCATCATCATCAACAGCTATTTTCATATTCATAACATTCGTGGTCGTCGTTGTGTTGAATTATATACATACATACATAGGTGTCAATAATAGTAAAATTTACTACAACACAACCTCCAAACAATTGAAAAAACACCACACAAAATAACTAAAATACACACGCCGCCCCTCAACTCCCCCTAATATATTTTTTATATAAATACATAATATCGTTTGGTATAGCTGTATTAAGTTTCATATAGATGTACAACTAATGCGCCCCGCCAATCAGGCAGTCAGCCACCCCAGCAAAAACTTCTTATAATTACATCATAAGCGAATGTTCCATGATATTCTTCTTGGGTAGTATGATATTTGCTGCTGGGATGGTTGTTGTTGTTGCTTCTGTTGCGGCGTGGTAATTATTTTGATATTATTCGACTTAATAACTATACCAAACTCTTGAATATAGTAACCAATATAATTATAAATAAATCAAGAGAAACCACATGAAACAACAACAAAGACATAAAACAAACAAAAAACACAGAAATAATTCAAAACATATGACAACCAACATGAACAGAAGAAGAGAATGAAGCAAAAAAACCACAAGTAAAATAATCTGAAAATATTAATGATATTTTATATAGAAATAAACAATAGAACACTAAGTAACATGGCAAATTTTTTTACATCTTAGGTAACACTCTATCTCTCTCTCTATCTATCTACTTAACTTCTTTTCATACTCCCCTACACCCCCCCCACACACACCACGCAGAGAAGACATCTGATACTCCGGCAGGAAGTTTTTCTTTTCATTCCATTTAACTTTTTATAATGTGCGTGGAATGGTGGAAACAAAACAATTGTGGAGTATCAATGATGGGTGGGGGTGTTGGAAGAAGAAAAGAAGCTTATGAAAATACAAACAACATTTCTCTTAATTTTCTTTAATTTAAATGGTACATATACGTAAATACATATTACCTTTTTGTTTGTTTGTTTGTTCAATTATCAACCAAACAAATGGAAAAAATAAGCCAATCAGCCAGCCAGCCTCCTTGTCCCCACCTTACATCTCCTTACAATAGCAACTAAACAAACAACCAACCAATAAATACATGTGTACCCCCTCTCTTGCTGCCTCTCTATTAGACAACAACAACAACAAAACAAAAACAGTAATATATTTAAATAAGACAAACAGCAACAAAAAAATTGGATTAAACCAAACAACAGTTATACAAACAAAAAAAAAAAAAAAAAACACAAAACCGAATCAAAACAAAAACAAATTATTTTCCATAGTACAAGTATGAATTAAATAGATTTTTTTAAATATAATTTCTCTCTGTAACATTAATATTAAAAACAAAAGAACCATAGAAGAAGAATCCAGCTTGTGTTGTATAACAGACAGAACAGAACAAAAGAAAACGCCAGCCAACCAAACCAACATCACCACCACAGCCACCCACCACCAACCAACCAACATCATCCATAACAACAAAAACAGAATCTACTTTTTTTTGTAATGAGATATGATTTTTGTTCTTTCAATATCAACCAACCAACAAACCAACCATCCAGTCACTCAGTATACAGTGTGTTTCATGATTTAAGACAAACAAAAAAGTCACTTATATGTATACTACCTAAACTACCTACATACTATAAATATATATAACAAACAAAAAATTATATATACCGATTTTAAAGAAATTTGTAATAAGAAAAAAAACTGAAAAAATTGTTAATTTGTTTATATATTTGGAAAGAATACACAAAAAAAAAAAGAAAAAAATGAAAAATTTCGATATTTAAAAAATTAAATACATTTGGTTTTTGTTATTTGGAGAAAGCAAAAAAAAAAACTACAACAACAGCATTAACATCGTCGTCATTGCATATCGTCATTTAGGTTTTTTATTTCGGTGCATTCCCATATCAAATTGATATCAAATTTTGTTTTGCTAGAACTGCTAAGATTAACTGTTTACATTTTGTTGGGCTTACCGATTTCTATGATGGGTCTAATTTCTTCTTTTTGGCCCACGTTACGGATAATGTTTTTTTTTCGGAATTCCAAAGCATATCTTTTTATTGAAGGGGGAATATTTTTGATAAGAACCAGCGGAATATTTGCATTTTTATATTTTATATTTGATTTGTAAATAGGCCGCAATGGTTAAGGGTTACAGGAAGTCGTTTTTGGATATCTCGGCACGTCTTCTGCTATAGTGCCTGGTGTACTGGAAAATCCTTTTCCCTGAATGCGAATTTTAAGAAAACCTTAAAATTAACTTGAATTTTTCCTTTATCCAAATGTATGTAAACAATAACTTTCAGTGTAAGGGCATGTGTAGTTTACTACATCCACTTATTCAGAATAAGGCCAATATTATTTTTTTCTCCCAGAATTGTATTAATCTTTTTATAATCTCCAACATACTAACCACGCTATAATCACGTTTGGACCCTACAATGTATATAGAAATGTATTTGTGATCAGCGTAACATTTGAAGTCGAATTAGCGGACATCGCTATGAAAGTCTGTTGAAAAAAGATAAAAATGTCAATGCTTTCGTAATGCCTCCCATTACGGTATCGGTAACTCTCGATATATTTTTTAAGTTTTATTGAATGAAAGCAAAAATATCGGAAATAGCATCAAATTTTAGAATAAGGTTAGATTTGTTTGAATTGGTCACCTTCGGCTTTCAAACGGGCAATGAAACCGTCACACGCTGCCCGAATGTTTTGCTTGCGGTATTTTGGCCCATTTCCCGCGAAGCGCTTGCTTGAGGTGATCGACACTTTGGTTTTTTTAGTGCCAACCTTGCTTTGTATATAGATTTCAATTCCGATACTAGATAGCAATCCCTGTAGCACAAAATTATTTATGTAGATTCACGGTTTGTATTAGCATCCATATACGGTGCCACCCACTTAACTGAAGATTTTAACTGCATTCTGCTGTTTAAATATGAAATCTTAATTCTATTACATTTAATGCATATCTTTACCTCCTGGTGGAGGGTATACTAAGTTCTTGACGCTTTTTTGTGGTTAATAACGCCAAACGAATGCCACCAGGTCCACCACGGTCTACTAAAATAACTTTAAATATATACAGAAAAATCACTATTCGAAATTGGAGAAATTCTGGTTATTTGATAATTTTTTACACATTTGTTGTAGTTGATTAGGAGTGATAATAATAGAGATTGTAGACAAGTTCATGTCATAGAAATCTGGACAAAGATTTCGTCCATGAGGCCCCCATTTGTGTTAATAGATTGGTTTATGAGTGACGAGGATTAATGATTGTAACTCAACTGTGTAGGTTTCAGAAACATCAAAAAACATTTATTTGATTTAATTCTATATTAGTGTAAAAAAATAATAATAAAACTTTCTAACCATAGGAAAATTTTGCAGGTTTCCAAAACTAAATTACTTTTGAATGATGATGTACTTTGTCCGCTTCTTTTACAGCAGTTCACATAGAGTCATGAATAATGTATTCACTTCTTTATACTCCAAAAATACCTGCTATGTATCGAACTCATTGAATTTGTTATAGATAGCATGTAGAATATTTCTCCATTAATATAATTTCAAAACGGAATAAATTACCACGAGAATGTTGGGAAAATGAATTGCAGTTATTTCCCTCAAGCAATTCATTTAAATATTTCCGCGAGTGCTTCTTGACCTACTTCCCTGTGCTTGGCAGACTACTTTCAAATGGCACCAAGCACCAACAATTATATAGTCCGGAATTCCTTGAACTCCTTGAGTCTTTTGCTGGGTACTGGTGTGAAAATCATGTTAGAGCTCTCAATAATTAATACTGAGTCGCGTCATTGTGCTGACATTGATGTTATTGCTACTATAGTGCTTACTATTTAAATCACTATTTTTTGGTATCGATTTCACTTTCATCTATAACCCGATTTGCTGCAATTGACATTTCTTAGTGATATGAAAAAAGGAGTAAAATAAATGATTTTTACACAATCTCCTAGACACATCTTACATTTGAATGGGATACAATTTGATGTATGTGCTACAGTAATTAACAAGATAGGCTATATATATAACCTGAATTAAAATATTGTGAATTTCAAATATTGTCCAGTTCAGAGTTGTGTTGTTACATTTGGTCAACCTTGGGATTAATAAACCAATCATTTCCCCATAATCAGTAAGTTTTGAAGATCAGTAAGTTTTCTCCCAGATCTTTTCAAAGAAGATCTGCAGATCCCCCAATAGAGATCAGAAGTTCTGTAGGTACTTTCCTACGATTTGAAGCTGTTGGAGAGACTCATTTAAATATCCATTTTGACAGTTAAGTTACTGAAAGTTTACAATTTTTTACTGAGAAAATTATCCAGTACCATCAGCTGATAGAAATGAAACAGATGTTTTGTTGTCGATGTAGAAATGTTTGAACATTTCCGTGAATTTTTCAATTATTTTTTATTTTATTAATTACCACTTGAAACAAAAGTAGATGGTTAATCTTCGGCTCCAATAATCAAGATTATTCAACTCTATTCCAAAACAATATAAATGTTTAAATATGTAATTTAAAATTCGATTTGATAAAGAACGAGATTAAAATAAGGAATGCAAAAACTCAAAAGAGGATAACAACAGAAAATAACAATAGCTGGGTTGGATTTCGTGCGTATGTGTTTTAACCCGAAGACACTAGTTTAAGAAGATCTTGAATTAATTTAATTTTAAGACAAAACATATTAATGAGTAATTCTTACCACTTCCCCTCCTCTTCCACACCCCGTGAAAAATACAGCAATGTCCTTTAATTAATTCCTCTTATACTCTTGCCAAATTTTTCCTTGTGGTTAAGAATTAGTTTTAATATTCTCAACAAAGACAAGATAGCATTAACTTTGTGTAGTAAGAAATCATGATCATCATCCAATACGTGTCGCCTCCATTAAATTTTCTCACATTTTTCAAAACTTGTAATGAACTACTACTTAGGCAATATTCATACAATACCAACCAATGTTGTGTTCGAAAACTTCATGAAGTAAATGCAAAGATGAAAAAGAAACAAAAAAAAAACAGACGATAACGTTTTTCTTCTAACAAAAAAATATATAATGTGTAATAATTTTTTATGTATGAAATAATAGATATATACAAAAAAAAAAAAAAAAAAAAAAACGTAAAAAATAAAACAAATTTTATATACAAAAAACAGCAGTACATGCCACTAAAATATATATATGTAGATATATATAACAATGTGATGGGCCATGTACATATGTATGTGATGAGTACATAACAAATAAACAAGAAAAAAAAAAAAAAAAACAAAACATTTACAAAATATTTTTCAAACGATAGAAGTCATCACCATATAAAAGCCAAGCCGTCGTTGAACTGTTTTCTTGTTCTAGTGTGGGGTGTCTGGGAAATGGGAAGATATAGAGAGGTTTTTTTTTACAGAATACAAGCCCAGTTGGGAAAAATTAGAAAGCATGTTGACATACCTATACGAAAATGTAATTGAAATAAGTAGTACGTATCCTCCTCCTGGAGATCTATTGATATTCAGATATAAAATAGGAGATGTTCTCATAGAAGACCCTTCAGGCCCCTTAGAAGATTTGGAGATCGTTTCAAAACACACTGGAGATCGTAGATCCTCTCATAAAAGATTGTGTTATATTCTCACAGATAAAGTTGATAAATATTTTCATAAAAGTTCTGTAGATCTTTTCACACAAGTTGTATATATCTTCTCATAGAAAATCTGTAGATATATAATGGATCTTCTCTCAGATGGTCTGTAATGGAGATGTAAATGTGGAGATTGTTTCATAGAAGATTTGGAGATCGTTTTTAGAAGGTTTAAAAACCTTCTTAAGAAGATGTGAGGTTCTCTCGGAAGATCTATAGATCTTCTCATGAAAAACTATGGATTTGCTCATAAAATATCTCTGAGAAGGTCTGCTGCTCCCCTCTTTGATTTCTTGGTCTTCTCTTTGGAGGTCCGGAATTTTTCTAAGAGAACTTCTGTAAATTATCTGAGAGAAGATCTCGATATATGTTTGGAGTGAAATTTTAGCTTAATTTGATTTTGTGGAAATTTGAGGTGAAGATTGTTAGACCTCCTTGCGATCTCATGGAATCTCTTCGGAACTTAGTCAATGAGAAGATGTTTCTCAAAAATTGCTTTCTCCGACTGTGGGCTTTGTCATTAGTCGAGTTATTGTCACCACCTACCCACCCCCTGTGATCAGTTTACGCGCTTGTTTGCTAGCCTTTCTTGCAACAATATTTTTTTTGTGAGACTAGGTCTTAATTCTTTTTATGTAATTTTTATTTTTTACTTTTTTTCCTGTGGTTAGGCCGCCAAGACAAAGAAGAAGCAAAAGTATGTGTTCGTTCCGAAAATTTGTAAATAATATAAATGTAAATTGGATTTTGAAAATTAGAATTTATGGACACTTTTACACACACAACAAACCACTTTACCATCTAAAATGCATTTATATAAACTTGCACTTGTTTTGTAGTGTAAGAAAAAAATAATAATAATTAAAAACAAAGAAACACAACAAACGAAATATTTGAAAAATAGTAAAATTGAAAAACGAAAAAGATATGCAAATGAAAAAAAAGGAAATTAAATAAATAAATAAATAATTGTTCGTTTAACAAACATATATACGAAAAAGAGAATATTGTTTTGAGTTTTTTGTAAAAAGAACCCCAGCTTTTTTGTTTGGACCTAAACATAAGTATAGAATTATGACTACTAATTTAGGATACTACTACTACTTAATAACAAAATGTTATATACATAGAGAGAGACTGTCCAACCTAAATCCCCTAAATAAAAAAAAAACTTCTTCTGCTACTGCTGCAACAACAACAACTACAAGAACATCACATTCATGAAACACACTGTATTTGTTTTCCTAGCAAAAAATGTTCATTATTTTTGTAAATTTGTTGTAAATTAATTGAATTTGTTTTTGGGTTTTTGTTTCGTTGTTATTTTAAATTTGGGTTTTTTAGAAGTTAACAAAAGTACCCTTCAGGTGATAGTTAAAAAAAGATAAAACAAAAACAAAAATACACTCCTCAAATGTGAACAACAACTCATCCAAATCCATCCATCCAAATCCATCTTGTCAAGTAGCAGTCGTCGTCGTCGGGTCATCATCATTATTCTCATTGTAATGATCATCATTATTATTATTGTCATTGTCGTCATCGTCATTCAGTGTGTGTGTGTATGTGTTATTCTTATTCTCCTCTATTCTATTACATTGTTGGGTGGAAAATGCAATCCAACATCTGCAATACCCAACAACAACAACATGAAGAAAAACAAGCAGAAGCTCATTTGTAAAATTGATTTCTACATTCAACTTAAAAAAATTATTGTTGATGGAAATGTTCAAAAAACAAAAATGGTTAAAAAACGATTAATAAAAAATAACAACAAAACCAAAAAACGAACATAAAATGCATGCTATTTTTTAGAATGTGTGAATGATGATAAACGAGAAAAATAAGAAGAATAAGACGAAGAAGTTGAAGATATATAAAAAAAAACGAAATATTTTAGTGATTTAAAATAAAAGAAAGAAGATGAGAAAACGAAAAAATATTAATTAAAATTACAATTATTTCTAAGAGACAAAAAGACAAGAACAAGACAAAAAATGAGAAAGGAAAAAGAAGAAAAAATATACATTTAAATGACTTTATAAAAATATCTTAAAAAAGAAAAACAAAACAAGAAACGTATGCATAATAAATTTGATTGTAAACACTTCTGAAAATCAAAACAGTCTTTTTAACTATAGCTATGAAGTGGGTGGGAGGGAGGAACATTGGAATTTTGTTGCCGATACTGTGGGAACATTTTTTGGAAAAAAAATTATAATATTTGGGAGGGTGAATTTGAATATTCTTTAAAAGTGAACATTGATATATTTTAAATTTTTCTAAAAAAGTCAAGCCGAGTCAAGTCAAAAGTCAAGCTTAAACGTATTATATCGAATTGATGGGGAGATACCAGAAATTCTCAATCGTGTTCAACTGTATTTCCTACACCACTATAAAGGTTTGGTATTATTTATGTATTGGTCCCCGACATTGAAAACTATATATGGATCTTCCGATCTCGCCGAGATGAGTCGATCTAGCTATGTTTGTCCGTTCGTCTGTTCATATTAATTATGTAAAAAAAATATACGAAAATGTCCACGACACTTCTAACTATTGTAGTGATACTAATAGTCAAGATATCGAATATATAGCAAAATAGGTAAAATCTATATGTAAAAAAATTGATGTTAGTTATTCCGCTTATGAGTCAAGAACCGCTGGACTGATTTTCACATCATCTCTCAATCCCTCATCAATTCGAAATGATCTCTTTGCCGAAAAAGTTAATATTTTTGTTCAATTTTTTCAATTTTTGTCATAATTTTTATAGCTTGTGATTTTTATACCCTCCACCTTGGAACTTTGTCATTCCGTTTGTAAAATCCCTTAATATTCATAGAAGACCCCATAAAGTACATATATAAATAAATAACATAAAATTTTAAGTCGATTTAACGATATCCGTCTGTCTTTCTGTTGAAATCACGATACAGCCCACATTATTTGACGTAGAGCGTCAAAATTTAGCAGAACAATTTGTATTGTGCCTAGGATGGTTGGTATTGAAAATGATTTTTTTTTTTTCGCAGATTTGTCTGAAAATTGGTATTTGTAGGTCATAATCGGTCCAAGTTTGTGTGGCGAAACATTGTATGTATAGGTCCACGCTTTGGTATAACCCCCATATAATGGTACCTCCCGATATTCGACATTTTGATGATTTTTGTCACATTTTCCAACGGATTTGTCTAAAAATTGGTATTTGTTGGTCATAATGGTTTTTAGTTCCGGTGGCGAAACATTGCATGAATATGTCCACGTTTTGGTATAGCCACCATATAACGGTATCTCCCGATATTCGGTATTTTGAGGATTTTTGCACATTTTTTCATGGTTTTGATGGGTTCTAACTCCTGTGGCGAAACATTTTGATAACAGTTAGTATTTTTAGTTTATAATGGGTTTTAGCCCGTTGGGAGAACATTGAATATTTAGTTCCACGTTTTCCTATAGCGCACCTAAAACGATACCCACCGATATTCAGTATTTTGATAATCCTAGTCACATCTACCCACTTAATTGTTTCAAATTTGGTATTTAAGAAGATTTGATAGATGGCAATTGTCTATAGAGGTTCCTGTTTTGGTATGGCCCCATAACGGTCTAACTCACTTGACTACGGGCTTTTGATAAGTTTAACTGCACTATGCAAAAGGTCTTACTGATATATGAAGTTTAAAGTGAAACACGCATGAATTAAGATACTTTTATGTAATGTTATGTTACATTTGCCCTAAGGTGGACGATATTAAAAATTTGTATCGGACGAACTTAATATTTATACCCTACACCACAAGGTGGTCAGGGTATTATGTCTTTGTGCATTTGTTTGTAACAGGCAGAAGGAAACGAGATAGACCTATAGTTCCTTTTGATGATCTGCATAGAATCACATTCTGAGTCGATTTATGCATGTCCGTCCGTCCATCTGTCCATGTATTTTTGTAAACAAAGTACAGGTCGCATTTATTGCCCGATCCAGATGAAATTTTGCAAAGATCTTTTGTTTGGCCCAAGGACGAACCCTATTGAAATTGGAGATAATCGGTCAAAATTTAGATATAGCTCCCATATATATCTTCGTCCGATTTGCCTTTTATTGTGCACCAAACGTGTAATATCAGCCCAAATTGTATGGAATTGTGCATATACACCCAAATTAGGCCTGAAAATATGTATGACAAATTTGATCGAAATCGGTTCAGATATAGCTATAGCTCCCATATATATTGTTCATCCGATTTGTTATTTTTGTCCACCGCCGTCGTAATATGCACTATGCAACAACAATATTTGGAAAAATATATCAAATACAGCTCAGAAATACATTTGCTAAATTTTATCGAGATCGGTTTAGATTTGGATATAGCTCCCGTATATAACTTCGTCCGATTTACCTTTTATTATGCACCAAACGTCTAATATTTGTCCAAATGGGATGGAATTTGGCACTTACGACCGAATTGAGTCTAGAAGCTAGTATGTCAAATTTGGTGAAGATCGGTTCAGATATAGCTATAGCTTCCATATATATTATTCATCCGCTTTGTTAAATTTGTTACCCACAACCGTAATATACACTCCGTAACAACGATATTCAGGGAAATATATCAAATACAGCTCAGAAATATCTTTGCCAAATTTTATCGAGATCGGTTCAGATTTGGATATAGCTCCCATATATATCTTTATCCGATTTCAAATTAATTGTGCACCAAATGGGCAATATAATTCCGAATTTAAAAGATACAAATGCTTCGGCATATTTAGTCCTTTGAACTTTAAATTATAATTATAATCATAGCGTGTATGATTGAATTCTCCCATAAAAACTTTTAATTGTTATGTGGAGCTCTACTTAATTAGCAAAGTTGTGTAGGGTATCATAAAGTCGGCCCCGCCCGACTTGAAGACTTTCTTTACTGGTTTTTTACTTGTTTCAATTTGACTTACAATTTTGAATTGTACATTTTCTAAAGTTTTTCTACACCCTGCAACACTATGTGTTGAGGGTATTATATACAGGTCGCAATTATCGTCCAATCCTCAAGAAATTTTGCATTGAGGTAGGGTTAGGGTCAGAATTACAGCCCATTGTTATGGAGATGTACATTTAGGGGTTCAAATGGAACAAAAACAAAAAAATAAATAAATAAATAAAAATTTCCCGATTTTGCAGTCGCTCTGCAGGTTACAATTGAAAACCAATCGACACGGAATTTTGCATGAGCAGAGATTTAAGGACGGGGAAGAAGTCGAGCATTTTGAATGACAATTGAATTATATTTAGCTGTAAAATGGATCACAACTTTTGTTGAATTTTTTTTCGAATACATAACAACACGGCGGAGTGTAAGTATGTAAGGGTAACCTCTGGGTAGGGTTCTATGACATTATTTTAAAAACCAAATCTTCCAAAATATATTTGGACGGGGACTTCCAACATATTGTAGGGTTGTAGGGTGGGTATTACATGGTCAACCCCGCACGACTATAGTCTTTGCTTATTTATTGGAATTTAAATTATGCGTAATACTCTCGCGTTAATTAGCATCGCTTTTATTGCTGCGATTTGAAATAAATTTAATAATAATGTTTTTTTCTCACTTTGCCTCTCTCCTACAATGTCATTGATCTCTGTTTTGTCAAGTTTGCGTCTCATTTCATTTTCAATAAAACGGCGATGATAAATAATAAATGCCACAAAGGAAAAACGCACACAACGAAACCAAAAAAAAAAAACGTTTTGTTTTCTTGACTTTAAGCTCCAGATTTACATGGATTCTTACTTTGCCACAGAATAAAATAACAAATCAAAAAAAAAAAAAAATACATTTCATTCCATTTCAATTGCTAATCCATTAAAGTCTCGGCTCTCCACATAAAACATGTTTGTTGTCGCTCGCTGTCGTCTACAATCATCATCTTTCAAAAAACCGAAAAAATCGTACCCTTGTTTGATTCGAAACCAGTTTGTTTTATTTATTCTGATATATTATTTTTTGTTGTTGCTTTCATTTTTTTTAAACAACTTGCATTCTACTGCTGCTGACTGACTGATGACGCCTTATCATCATGTGATTCATGTGGGTTTTTGTTGTATATAAATATGTACAATACGTATGTATATATATACATATGTACCTATGTCTCTCTAGGTATGTACAAAATAAAAAAAAATATGCATATTTCATTTTCTATATGCGTTTATTTTTTATGCATTTTCTGTGTTTGGTTTGGTTCGGTTCGGTTTGTGTTGGGTTTATTCCATTCTTTATAACCCATTCAAAATTATGTGTATATAACGCAGAAAAAAAAGTGGTCGCATTTTTTTCCCAACTGGCATGTAACGACGCCCTTTATTGTAATCCATCTATACGTCCGTTCAATAGACTTGTCCTACCACAACAACGACGCAGCAAAATGCGTTTCTTGCTTGATTTTTTTTTGCTTGCAATTTTTGTTCTTCATGTTTGACATCCTCCTTCACAATTTGTTTTCACCTATGTAAGAAATTTAACCCTTAACAAGAGATTTAGAACGTCAGCAGTTTTGTTTTCTTGTCCCTTCTTTAATGAAGCAAAAAAAAAAAAACAAGAAAAAATGTCATATACCCAGCGCATGTAAGTGGGAAGGGTGAGGGGTCTAAGAGGGACTGGCTGGCGGTATTGTAAAGTTTTACATACACATGAACCACCACCGCCACCTTAGTATGCCGTAGAATGAGCAGGGGTTTGATGATATACTAGTTTGCTCATTATGTTTGCAACACCTTGGGGTTATTTATTGGAAATGCGTAAAAGGATTCCTCTTCTTTTTTTTAAGGGCTATATATATGTCTTATTGACATTACCCCCAACACTGTTTTCGTCGATACTCAAACACCCAGAAACAGAAGCTAAAACTCATTTTTTTTTTACCCTTCTTTACTACCATATCATCGGGGCAATGACCGGAGATTTTCTTGAATATTTTTCAAAAGACTGGCAAAAAAATGGCTTTAAAAATAAAATTGTGAAGGACTAATTGCACTCTGCGACATAATGCAATACCTACAGGAAAAATCTAGCAGATTATGAAAGGTCAGGCTGAAATGTTAATATCCTCCAATATTTGG